CCCCAAAACCCCAAAACCCCAAAACCCCAAAACCCCTTTATGTTAAAAGTTAAATGAAGGAGATAGGATTTGTATGAATTTATGAGGTCAAAAATTAAATATTGATGACGGCTTAGGGCTAGCCTCAACGGGAATCATTCACAATGAGAGTCTCAGTTGAGCTTCTTCATTGTAGGGCTTTGTCTGCTCGATTCTTTAGGCGGGTGAACTGCTTCACCTAAGTTTGTGATGTAACTGTTGGAAATCCGATTTATATTTTCTTATTAAAAGTATATAAGTCTTTTCTCTAGGTTCTAAGCAGCTTCATGGATGTTGGTTTTTAGGTATAGTTTTCCTGATAATTCCTGAATTCCTGAATCTTCAAGGGGTGGGGGTGTTAAAGCTCTGCAGAGGACGAATGAAAAGCGAGGAAGGCGCACTAAACCTCAACATTGATCAGAATGGGTCCTGGTCAATGTACTCCGAAATTTAGTTGTTGCTTCCAAAGCTCCTCTATCCTCTTTGATAGAGCTTAACGTTATTTGATTCGATACTAGTGTTTGATATGGGGAATTTAGGTTGCTTCAAGATGTTTCAGATCTCAACTTCCTTAATATTTGTGAATCTTAGTAGCTCCCCACCTCATGATTTCAAAAGTGATTTTAATTAACCACTAAAATATGAAATCACCGATAAATCGTAGAGATGAAGAATATCTAAGAAGTGTGCAGATGAGAGAGATGTAAGAGATCTCTATTCATCCACCTATAAATTTTGAGCGAATCTACTGATAATATCTTAGCTGTTGCTAGGACATAGATAGTAGGGCTCAAATTTTACTACTTGATTCCTTGCTCGTTTAGGCCCAGCCTCACCTTGATGTCTTAATCATTACCAAAAGAGGCAGACTAAGACTTATTAAGGTTGGTTATTTACATAACCTTGACCTTAACAATCTCACCATGCCTTCCTTTGTTAATGTAAACAATGGAAATTTCGAGTTCCAAGGTTGTGGCCATCTTGTGGAGAATCCTAAGAGAGGCTTCCATTTCCTTCTTATCAATTCCAATGGATTCTCCCTTATCTCCGACTCCAATAACATAGTAAGCTTCTCCACTTCCTTCCTGGAGTCTGAACTTCATCTGAGTAGTAAGTCTCAAGATCCTTTCTGGGGTACTCTGAGCAAGCTTAAGCTTGTACTCAGTGTTTCCATAGTATCTTTCTTCTTCAATGTCAGATGTAACAGTCTGCTCTTCAAAGTTTTGGTCCAACTTCATTTGGGTATACTGAGCAATGAAGTCATCAGCTGCTTTGACTTCTTCCTCAGTAAGTCCCTTCACAGTAGGGGTTGTAGCTTCAGTTGGAACAACCTTGGTCTCTTCACAAGTCGTATCAGATCCCTGTACCATATGATACGTGTCTTTCTGAAAATCTTCGGTTTCTTTATGAAGCAATTCATCTTCAATGCCCTTTAGATTAGGCTTGCGATACTGCCTGTCATGCTTCTTCTTCCTGTTTCGCTTACGAGTTTTCTTTGCTCCTGCAGCTATTTCCATAAGCTTCTTCTCTTCTTGTACTTTCTATAAACAAGAGATTAGGTCTTTGTTTTAGCAAAGTTTTGATATTTCCTGAGAAGAATCTTTTAGTAAAAAATCGTTGTTGGGGTTTACCTTATACTGGTCGCTGGAGGCCTTCTTGTGGCTCTTCTTCTTTTTGATGCCTATTTCGAAGACAGGATCTTCTTCATCACTGTCCCCGAGGGCCAAGACATCTGCATAGCAAAAGTCAAAAGACATTTTTAAATTTTTTATATATATTAAAACCCTTAGCTTTTTGTGAATAAGAACAATATGTAGCCAATTATTCAACCAAATCAGCCATTGGAGGGGTTTTGGGGTTTTGGGGTTTTGGGGTTTTGGGGTTTTGGGGTTTTGGGG